AAACAAAAAAAAAAAAAAAAAAAAAATCCAAAGTCATCTCCACCACTCCAAAAATTGCTGGTTTAGCTCACTGGTTAGAGCGCTCCACTATCCAAAACACAAGTTATGACAGGAGAGAAGGCTGGTTCAATTCCGCCAATCGGCAACTGGTTCTGTTCTCTTTTTTTCTCTTCTTTTGTGAAAAGATCCATTCAAATTCAAATAAAAACCCTTCAAACGCGACTGCGGTACGCCAACCCAAACACGACTGCCACCAGCGGAAAGAGCATGGCCTTTTTTTTTTTTTTTTTTGGGTGCATTGCGTCAGTCAGTCGTATCCACGTTGAAGGCAAGCAATGGAAACAAGGGATACCGAGTACAGCAAGCGCAGCCAGTGCGAGTCGGCCACCAGCTCGGTCACGACCCACACCATCCCTATTTTTTCCACATCATTTGACAATGGATCAGTTGGATCCAACAAAAACAAGCAAATGAGAAGACGAACCAATCCCAAAGCTCACCCACACCAGCGCGACAGAGCCGCCCGACGCGCCGTACCCGAGCGCCGTGATCACCGTCGACGACAGCAGCAACAGAAACACCAGCCGCGCCGCCCGCACCGCCCGCCGCATCCGCCCTGCCCACGGCGCCTCGTCCTTTTCTGATGGAACATCACCTGGTCCAGTGTACGCGATGGTGCCAGCGGGGATCTCGCCAATGGGCGCCGAGACATATGCGGGTCCTTCCGGCTGGACACGACCCGGCGATCCGGTGCTGGGACCGCCCGCCACCAGGTACAGCACCAGCAGCGCCGCCATCCACGCCACCAGCGCCGTGTACACTGCGATCCACATTGCTTTTTATTTTATATTTTATATTTTAAAGAGGTGTGAGTTTTTGTTGTGTTGACTCCATTCCATTAAATTGGAAAAAAAAAAAAAAAAACGCACCGCGCATCTGCGACGACTCGTAGCCACCGCCAGCGATCGAGCGGATAATCGTTTCATTTTCGCCAGTGAAGGGTCGCATCGTTTC